TATCCAATAAAGTGACCTATCATAACTAGAGGAACAATAAACTTTTCATGACAAAAACAAAATAAAGGAATTTATGACACTATGTTCTACAGAAGACACTTGGAGGGATACTTCAGACCAAAGAGAAAAACAAGTCCATTGACAAGGCCACAATAAAGAATGAGCCATACTAGAACTATAGTTAAGCAAGAGAAAAAGGGAAGAAACAAAACACTACAAGATCAACAAGATGGTAGGAACTCAGGACAGCTTTCAAACAAAATTCAGAATACTGATGGTCTCAATTCCCCATTCAAAAAGCACAAGCTAGTACACTGAATCAAAAAACAAGGATTATCTATCTGTTGTCTCCAAGGAATGTACCTCCCCTAAAAGATAGACAGTACCTTCAGATAAAAGGATGGAGTCTCATACTCCAAGCAAACGAACCTAGGAAACAAGCAGGTATCATTTAGCTGATGCTCCAATTTAGTATTGTTTTTAGGTAATACATAATGGTTTTCTGAATTTCAGAGCTATCTGTTGTATTACCAAACAAACAAACAACAACAACAAAACCAACTTAGCCAGGTGGTGGTGGCCTGTGCCTTTAATTCCAGGTCCTGGGAGGTAGAGGCAAGTGGATCTCTGTGAATTTGAGGCCAGCCTGGTCTACAGATCAAGTTCCAGGACAGCCAGGGCTACACAGAGAAAACCTGTCTCAAAAACAAAGAAACAAAAAATACTCTACTAGACTGGAACATCTATAAGAAATGTATGGAGTCCTACAGGCATGTGACTTATCAAAATTAAACCAAGATGAAATCATTTTAAAAAGATCTACACCATGCTGAGTCTAGCACCAACACTTCTCAAGCTATCCCATAACAGAAAGGACATTACCAAACTCTTCTAACCAAGCTAGTATTACCCTGATATGCAAACCAAACAAAGATTAAAGAAAAACAAAAATTACAGATCCATCTCCCTGATGAACAACAACCTAAAAATTATCAAAATACTTTCCAACCTGGTGGGAAGAAACTCACCCCCACCCTGATCCCTCAAGGGCATAGGCAGCTGGGGGTGGGGTGGGGTGGGGGAGTGGGGCCCTCAAGGACCTGGCTGGCATGAAGACATCCATGGTCCCACTCAGTGCCTTCAGGCGCTGGTCAGGTAGGCCCCATCATAATGAGCAAATATGTGGTGAAGAAATGGAAGAGGAAGAGAAGCGGAATGGTTCACATGCTGTGGAAAGAGGCAGAAAGGAAGAAATGAAAGTGACGAGAAGTAGGGTGATATGGGAGATCTGCTTGCCACCCAGGGCTATGGTAATGTCCAGGCCAGGCTATAGCCAAGGGCCATGGATGGGTCCTTGGTCCTACCACAGCCAGGGTCTGTGCTAACGTCTGTGGCCCATGTTGCCACCAAAAGTCACATGGAAGCCAGGGGCCTGGGCTGCAACCAGTGGCCTTGTTGGGGTCTGAGAGCCATGCCACTGTTGGAGCCACACTGGTCTGGGTGACCTGTGCTGCCACCAGGGGCCCTCGTGTTGTCCACGTCTGGGCTGATGCTGAGGGCCATGTCTGGGCCCATGGTCCTACAGCAGCCAGAGTCTGAGTCGACGTCTGTGGTTCCTGGTGCAACCAAAGGCTGTGTGGTTGCCTGGGGTTTTGATCAGCCACCAGGGACTATGTTGGTGCCCAAAGGTCATGCTGCATCAGGGGGCCATACAGATATGAGTGGCACATGCTACTACCTAATGCCATTGTGGCGTCCAGGCCAGGGCTGCAGCTAGAGGCCATGTCTGAGTCCATGGCTCTTTTGCAGCTCAGGTCTCAGCTGATGTCCCCAGCTCCTGCTGCCATCAAGGGCCATGCTGATTCCAGGGGTCTGGGCTTCCAAATGGGGCTGTTAGTGTCCAGGGACCACACTGCCACTGGGGCCATGCCAATTTGGGTGGCCTTTGCCACCACCTGGGGCCATGATGACATCTAGACCCGAGCTGCTGCCAAGGACCATGTCTGGATCCATGGTTGATCCTACCACAGCCACAGTCTGTGTTGAAGTCTGAGGTCTATGTTGCCACCAAAGGCCACATGGAAGCCTGGGCCTGTGGCCTTGTTGTTGTCAGGGGGCCATGCTACTGCCCGAGTCATCCTGATCTGGAGTGGCTGCCACTTCCACCTGGAACCAGTGTTGAATTAGGCAGAGCTACTGCCTAGGGCCACATCTGGGCCCATGGTCCAGCTGCAGCTGGGGTTTGTGCTGATATCTGTGGCCCGTGTCATGTCAGGGGGCCATAGGAACCATGAGTGATAAAATCAGAGGTCCATCATGAGTTGGCCCTGCCCTTTGCTGGCCCAGGGAAAGCTGGCCCTGCCTCTCACTGGACACTGCAGCAAGACAGCTAGCCCTCTCTCTCATGAGAGAGCTGACCCTTGCTCTTAGGAGAGATGGCCCCACCCTTCACCACAGCTGAGGGAGAACCACTCCTGATAGCATGGGTGTAGGGGAGCAGCCTCCACCCTCTCACCTGAGGCAGGTGGCCCCAGTGGCCTAGACTGACCAGCTCAGCTACCACCCAGGCCCATAGTCAAGCCTGGGTTGGCCCACCCTAACATCTACTCCATCTAGGACCTGCTGGAGCTCATGAAGGGACCAGTCCTATGAAACAATACCCACAGGATCACCATGACTCAGGCCATGGAATATCCCAAAAGAGTTCCATTGATAACTCAGTGAGATGGTGTACCAGAAACCAGAAGCCTTGAACAGACTAGTGACTCATTGCAATGAACATTTGCTAGTAAGCTGAATGGACAAAAGGGTAGACTATGTGACACACTGAGGCCCAAATGCCACCAGGACGGATGATGAGGTGCTGGAGAAACAGGAAAGAAGGAGAAGCAAAGACTTTGTTCTTGTTTTTGTTTGTTTGCCTGCCTGCTTTGTTTTGAGTTTTTTTTTTTTTTTTTAATTTTCTTTTCAGGGAGCACTGCAGGAGTAAGAGGAAGATATGGGGGCGGGGGGACGAAGAGGTAAGCTGAATTAGGGTACATGATGTGAAATTCCCAAAGAGTCAGTAAGGAAATTATGTTAAAAAAATACTTCCCAACCAATTCAAGAACACATTTATTTATCACAAACAAGTGGGCTTTACTCCAGAGGTCTGGAGATCATTAAATACACATAATCAACTAATGTTATAATTTACATAATGGTCTCAAGGACAGAAATCACAAGGCCATCTTGATAGACACAGAAAAGTTTTGACAAAATCCAGCATCCTTTCCTGTTAAAAGTCTTGAAAATTCCAGAGATACTCTTCAATAGAAAAACAAAATCTTAAAATTCATATGGCAATAAAAAAGACCCCAGAGAGCCAAAGCAATCCTGAGTGAAGATAATACTGCTGGAAGTATAATCATCCCTGATTTCAAACTATACTGTAGAGCCACAGTCATAAAAACAGTACAACACCGGTACAAAAACAGACATGGAGGTCAATGGAAAATAACAGAAGACCCAGATATAAGCCTACATACCTATAGTCACTTGATTTTTGACAAAGATAACAAACATACATTGGACAAAGCACAGCATCTCCACAAATTGCACTAAGAAAATCCAACACCTACAAGCAGATGAAACTAGATCCTTAAATCTCATCTGTACAAAACTCAACTCCAAATGGCTCAAGGACCTCAACATGAAACCCGACACTCTGAAACTGCCAGAGGAAAAAGAGGGAGCACACTTCAAAATAGATAGAGATAAAGTCTTTCTGAATGTGAATTCAATTGCTCAGGAAATAGGCTAGTAATTGTGCTGCTATCAACCTTGAGGAGAAAAGCTTCTCTCTGTAGTAGGCAGAGACTCATAATTGGTCAAAGTGCCAAGAATAAGTGACTGAAGGCTCAGCCCTAAGTGGGCCACCTACATAAGAAGCTGCAGGATGACTGAAGAGCCAGAGGCCAGGGAGAAGTGCTGTGATGTGATGTGAGAAGTGCTGCCTTCTGGGCACGCCATGTCTGCTGCACTCATGAACTCACAGCGGCTGTGGTTACTCAACCATGACCTACACAAAGTCAAGCCCATGAAATTCAAGCAGGACAGGGTACAGTTCTCGAGGCCCCAACCCTACCCTAAGAGCTACTGACAGACATTGGTTGCTGAGGGAGAAAAAACATTTTTTTTTTTTTGAGATATGTGTCCCGGAAGGTTACACCTGACCCTAGTGGATGTCCAACTCCCATGTGCATAGACATCACACACTGGGCTCTGTGGGTGGTAGTGGGAGACAGGCGATCAGGGCTACTTGATGAAGCTGGGAGGGGGACTGTTGTGGGCAACCAGGGTGAGTTAGAGGGAGAAAGGGTATAGATATGGTCAAAATACATTATATACATATGTGAGATTCTCAAGGAATAAATTGAAAACATTACGTTAAAAAGATGCTCACTAAATGTTGACCCTGAAAGTGTACAGGTTTATAAAACGTACAAAGTAAGGGATGATTTGTGATTACTAAGTTCTTTCCACTGGGAACTCAGATCTTTGGCCCAGCTCCAGGGTTCCTCCTTGTCTATGGTCATACATAACAACATCCACACAGTTTGGTCTGACTGGCACTCCACTCGATTTTGAATCTCTAAAACAACTTCTAGTCTTCTTTCTTTAGATGTGTACCTCACTTACCCTTCAGAACCACTTGCTGAGCCAAAGAAGCTTGCTAGTCCCCGTTTACAATAAGAAAACTACATTCCAGACAATCACATAACAAGTTCAAGGTCACAGGGATTTATAATTCATTTGATTAATCTTAAAAATGTGAAAATGGCTAATTTTTGTAGGTTATGTTTTTATTTATTTGAAAGTTTCTTTTATAATAAAGTTTATAAATTTTAAAAAATATGAGAAAATGGATAAAAGTGTTAGACTTCTGAGTCTTGAAAAGAGAACCACAAAATCTTAAGTTTTAAGAGCAGTTCCACCTGCAGTCAGAAGTGTATACCTACCTCACTGAAAAGACTTCCATTAACATACGAAATCCAGAGTTTCCAGAAGTTAGGCAGCTGACTTAACACAAGCTTGGTTAATTTTTCAACAAATGCCACTCTGTGGGGAGTTTTGTACCTCCATGCTAAAGGATAAAAGAATAACACTATGAATACATGTTTGAATCAGGAAGAAAAACCTACTGGGGCACAGTGACCCCCTACCCCACCCCTTCCCTTCTTTCTGACGAGGAGGCATTTCCCTCAGCATCATACTGGCAATGGCAGGCACAGGGAGGGTACAGCTGCCAACGCCTGGGAGGACAATGCTTCACCCTTGTTCCTCAGAGTTGTTAGTTCCTCTTTAAAAAGCCAAACATGGGGGCTGGATGGATGGCGCAGAGGTTGAGAGCATTTGTTCTTGCAGAGAACTGGGGTCCAATTCCCAACACTCCCATGGTGGTTCACAGCTATCTGTAACTCCAGTTCCTGGGGATCTGACACCCTATTCTGATCTACAGGGGCACTGGGCATGCATGTGGTGCAAAACACATAAAAGTGAAAAAAACCTCTAAAAATAAAACACTTAAAAGTAAATAAATAAAAGTCAAACCTTCAGTCAGCAAAGAAAAGGCCAAGTTAAGGCCTGCTGACAATGATTAGAGACAAATCTAAATCTGCTGGAAGTTATCAGTAAACACCCTAGGTGGTAAAAATTCAGTCAAGAATCAGGAACACATTCAAGTGCAATCCCATAAAGAATAGCATCCCGTGACACAGAAGTATAAGATGAAAAGTGTACTAAAACCTCAGTTAACAGTAGAAAACAAATGGAGAAATTCAAGAATACAGGCCATTTCCCGGTTCTCCTACCTTTAGCTATGAGATCATTGTGCCCTCTGCCTATGGGTTCCTGTCTACCTCCCTGCTGCCTGCTGGCTGCTTCCTACCCAGCCACAGGCAGGCCAGTACACAGCAGCCACCAGGAGCACTGTGGGGTCCAGTCCTAACCCTTACTCAGCCTCTGGGTAGGGTGTCCATTCACTCTATTGCCAAACCCAGGCTTCTTTACAAGAAAACCTAGGCAGGGCTGCCCTGTGGCTCAGTGTCAGAAATTTGTCTGGCCTGCATCATTACCACAGGTCCTTCCATAATAGGCAGAAAGAGTGAAGACAGACAGAGATAAAGAAACACCAGACAGAAAGTGCTGACATTTGTATTCCAGTGAGGGAGGGTGAGGCTGGTTTAGTTTTAAATGTTTATTACCATCCTGACTTGATAATAAACCTCCAGAAAATAAGCTTTCAATGACAGACGTGGAAGGCTAACTCTTGCCCCTCCCCTACATGCTGGTGATAAAGAACCCTTGTTACTGGTTTCATGTAACTCTTTGCTAAATGCTTTTTATATATACAAGCAAATATAAATATGTTCATCACTCTCAAATGTCCTATAATTACTTTTGAAACGAAGTTTGCTCTCTCTACTTCTCATTACTGGTTCCTGTAGTTCCATATTCATACAGAGAGCACTTCCTTTCTCTGAGATATAGACTATTTCATTTGAAATTATTCAAATTAATAAGCTTCCTTCTAACAGATAAGACTATCTTTCATGATTTAGTTTAAACTGATGCTTTCACTAAAAGAAATCCTCTTCACTTAGCACATGTGCAAAAAGAATAAATCCCCCAAGAACCGCTGGTTCAAAAAGTACAGCTACAGGGAACGTTGAGAAGGGATTGCATTGCCTGTGAAGGGTGTCTGCCCACTTGCAGAAGAAACAGGAAAGCAGCAGCTTTGTGATACTCTCACCAACAAGCCCCCAAACCCAAGACAAAACATAACAAGATCCCCAGGGGCTTTGTGGGGCTGAAATATTAACTGTCTTTAAAACTGTTATTGCCGTGAATGAGAGCACGGACCTGCATATGCTTAAGAACCACTGAGGCTTCCTTCTGCCAGCTTAGGGCCCCTGCATGCTAGACAGCATTTCTATATTGTGGGGGAATAAACTCATTTTCACGAGTAAAAGGTACAGTTCTTTATGTCTAACGGTACTGTAAACTTTGATTTGTTCTCTAGTGGAAACCTCAAGACTATCTGTGAACTTATCAGACAGCTGCCCTGATCTATGTGGACTGCTGAATAACTGAGCAAACTCTGCCTTCAAAGTTTCTAGAGCAGGCAAGTCTACCAAGAAACAGATTTCATCTGACAACATGGCTATTTTCCCTAAAAGTAAATGATAACGCCAAACTATTTTACAAACGGCAGACAGCATGTTGCCTGGAATGCACAGGCCATGGCCAGGAGTGTCAGGGGTCCAAAACAAGAAAAATCTTTGAAAGAAATTAATTTAAATCCGTTTTTAAATGACTTTGTGTGAGTGTGTGTTTTGACTGCATGTATGTATGTGCATCATGGTGCCTGCTGCCCATAGGTATGAGACGAGGGCATTGGATCCCCTGGAACTGGAGTTACAGATGGGTGTGAGCCACCATGTGGGTTCTGGGAACCACACCTGAGCCATCTGCAAGAACAGCAAGAGCTCTTAACTGCTGAGCGATCACCCCAGCTCCCAAATTAAACTCTTTAAGCTGAAGCATTAAAGATTTGCCTGACCATAGCAGTTACATGGTATTTTCTCCAAGAACAGTATTCAAAGCACTGTGGCTCTACCATGAGCTCTCTGACCTCTGCTCTGCATTCCGACTGTGCAACACTAACCTGTCTCCTCATCTCATGTATTCTTTGCTGGGAAATAAATGAAAGCAACCTGAGCAGAACCCAAGTCCCTGTGCTCACTGGAGCTGGCAGAGTTCTGAATGGTCCAACATGTCCCTGTGCACTCTACGCATGCATGTATACAGTGGACAGTGCAGACATCTAATCACCCATACTCACACACACTCCACACACAAGTCTCAAAGCAGCTGATCGTAAAAAGCATTCCGTAGCACCAAAGAAGAGGGAATCCTGATTTCTCACTGACTTAAAAACAAACAAAATAGGGGCGGGGATAAAACAAACAAACAAAAAACACAAGAGAAAAAAAAGAGAGCGTAAACTCAGCTCCTTTCTTAAATCCAGTAGTAAGTACTGTAACTGAAACCATTTTATGATGGGAAAATGACTTAACAGTTAGTATGTAAAAACAGCAAATGGATTCCAAAAGCTTAATTCACCGGATCTTTCACAGCAGATTAGTGGGTAAATGATACTGTCCCAGTTCACAGCAGTGGCAGAGGCTGACACAGCGTCTGGACATGCTGTCAGACACTCTGGAGTGCTAGAAGGGCTGCAAGTACTTAGCATTCTGATGCTCAGTCACCCAGGCCTGTACCCAAGTAGTGTGGTTCCAGGGCCCACCCCGTGCAGCAGGGGGGACTCAAGAGTACCATATTCTCCTTCATCTTTTTACCACCTGACAATTTTCTTAAGTATGAGATGGAGTCTTCTTTACCACATCCCCTCAGAGGTGTACAAACATGAATGATCACGTAGAGGTAGGGGTGATAACTCACTGTCATCCCGACCGGACTGAAAGCTGCTACCTCTCTTCAGTGATGCAGTCTGGCTGAGATGACCCAACACCGAGGGGCGAACATCATTATCCAGGTCCAGCATGGGGCTGTGTGGGCCTGGGTTACCTAGAAGAGAAAATGGTATTACCTATTACTGTGTGGTCTGAGCTAATGTAGAGCTTCTTCAAGGCTATTTCTTGCTCAATCATTGCACTCTTTTAAATACAGAATTTAAATAAAATTTTCTCCAAATAGTTTTTGCTTTTTTAAATTTCTTATGGTGCTGAGGACTGAGTTCAGAGCCTCATTAAGTGTTCTGCCACCGAGCTATGTATAGCCCTCAACAGATCTACAGAGTCATTCCATTATGACACATGGGGAAAATGCGATCCACCATTCTAGCTTAAAACAAAGTTCTAAGAGACATCTTGGTGCAGTTAATGAATAATTTAATGATGAATGCAGCAACATGATATGCCACGTTTTGGTGATACTCATGGAGACCTGTCCATTACTAAACAGAAATGGAGGAGTGGATTGGGGAAGATAGGAACAGAAGAAGGGTGGGGGGAGAGATTGGGAGTAGAGGAGGGAGGGGAAACTGCAGCCAGGATGTAAAATTAATTAATTAATTAATTATTATTTATTTATTTTTTTGGATTTTTCGAGACAGGGTTTCTGTGTGTAGCTTTGCGCCTTTTCTGGAACTCGCTTTGGAGACCAGGCTGGCCTCGAACTCACAGAGATCCGCCTGCCTCTGCCTCCCGAGTGCTGGGATTAAAGGCTTACGACGCCGACGCCGACGCCGACGCCGCCCGGCCTCATGTGACAACTCTTAGGAAATGAACCAGTGGAGTGATTC